CGACATGCTAGGGTATTGGGGACCGATTCAGTACTGGAATCCTATCGACATGCTAGGGTATTGGGGACCGATTCAGTACTGGAATCCTATCGACATGCTAGGGTATTGGGGACCGATTCAGTACTGGAATCCTTCATTGACATGCTAGGGTATTGGGGACCGATCCAGTACTGAAATCCTATCGGCATACTAGGGTATTGGGGACCGATCCAGTACTGGAATCCTATGGACATACTAGGGTATTGGGGACCGATCCAGTACTGGAATCCTATCGACATACTAGGGTATTGGGGACCGATGCAGTACTGGAATCCTATCGGTATACTAGGGTATTGGGGACCGATGCAGTACTGGAATCCTATCGGCATACTGGGGAATTGGGGACCGATCCAGTACTGGAATCCTATGGACATTCTAGGGTATTGGGGACCGATCCAGTACTGGAATCCTATCGACATACTAGGGTATTGGGGACCGATGCAGTACTGGAATCCTATCGGTATACTAGGGTATTGGGGACCGATACAGTACTGGAATCCTATCGGCATACTAAGGGGGACCTATCCAGTAATTGGGGACCGATCCAGTACTGGAATCCCATCGACATGCTGTGGTACTGGGGACCTATCTAGTACTGGAATCCCATCGACATACTGTGGTACTGGGGACCTATCTAGTACTGGAATCCCATCGACATACTGTGGTACTGGGGACCTATCTAGTACTGGAATCCCATCGACATGCTGTGGTACTGGGGACCTATCTAGTACTTGAATCCCATCGACATGCTGTGGTACTGGGGACCTATCTAGTACTTGAATCCCATCGACATACTGTGGTACTGGGGACCTATCCAGTACTGGAATCCCATCGACATTCTGTGGTACTGGGGACCTATCTAGTACTGGAATCCCATCGACATACTGTGGTACTGGGGACCTATCTAGTACCTGAATCCCATCGACATACTGTGGTACTGGGGACCTATCTAGTACTTGAATCCCATCGACATACTGTGGTACTGGGGACCTATCTAGTACTGGAATCCCATCGACATTCTGTGGTACTGGGGACCTATCTAGTACTGGAATCCCATCGACATACTGTGGTACTGGGGACCTATCTATTACTTGAATCCCATCGACATACTGTGGTACTGGGGACCTGTCTAGTACTGGAATCCCATATTCATGCTAGGGTTTTGGGGACTCTTTCAGTACTGGAATCCAGTGGGTGATTATGTGACTACTTACAATGTGTGTCATCAGTAGGGTATATATATTTCGGTATCCTTGTAAACAACTGGGACACACAGCTAATGCATCTTCTATATGTCCCTGACAGCCTATTTTATCCCTCATCCCTATCGCTTTGTAAAATAGAACCGTCTGATATATATCTATGAAATACTAGCTTCATCAATACACTTTGCGTGTATAATGTCATATTTTACTGCTTTAACCTCTGGCATATCTTGATAAGATCGTGCACACTTCACGTAATGATTTGTTTACACGTTACCATGACAACTCACTAAACATCGACGTGTAATTTCACACTTTGATTTATGAATACCATTTCGCTTCTTGAATCAAATATTTAATTTCCGCTCGCACTTAACTGATACCATGACTCGAACACTGTGTCCTCTTCTGCACAGTGTGCAGTATTGATTGCAGGGCTTATTGACAGGGGAAATCCACGCACCAAACACGTTTGTTTTACCGTGTCATTGAAAGTACAACATGAAATCACAATTTCGGACCGTGATATGAACATGTATGTTCGTTTAGTTATCAAAGGACAAAACTGTGATGAATGAGAAGTAGACAATACAGTAGTGTGGACTGACTCTGTGTGTGTCAGTGTATGTGTTTTTGTGGTTGCTGTTTGAGACTGCAGCTCCAGTTTCCATTGCGGGGCGGTAGGGTAGCCTAGTGGTGAAAGCGTTCGTTCCTCACGCCGAAGACCTGGGTTCGATTCCCCTCATGGTAACAATGTGTAAAGCCCAGTTCTGGTGTCCCCGCCGTGATATTGCTGGAATATTGCTTAAAGCGGCGTAAAACTAGACTAACTCACTCCAGTTTCCACTGACGCTTCTCCTTCTCCTACTACAACTACTAATGCTGCTGCCGCAACTACTACTATTGTTGCTACTACTACTACTACTTATACTACTACCACAACCACTACTTCTACTACTACTACTACTACTACTACCACCACCACTACTACTACTACTACTACCACAACCACTACTACTACTACTACTACTACTACTACTACTACTACTACTACTACTACTACTACTCTACACTACTACTACTACTACTACTACTACTACTACCACCACCACTACTACTACTACTACTACTACTACTACCACAACCACTACTACTACTACTACTACTACTACTACTACTACTACTACTACTACTACTACTTATACTACTACCACAACCACTACTTCTACTACTACTACTACTACTACTACTACTACTACCACCACTACTACTACTACTACTACTACTACTACCACAACCACTACTTTTACTACTACTACTACTACTACTACTACTACTACTACTACTACTACTACTACTTTTACTGCAGACCGCCTCCGTGGTGTAGTGGTTAGAGCGTCCGCCCGGAGTGCGGAAGGTCGCGGGTTCGATCCCCGACCGCGTCATACCAAAAGACGTTAAAATATGGTACTTGTTGGTCCCTGCCTGGCGCTCGGCATTAATGGGTACAACAAGGACTGGTCGGTTCGGAGTCAGTATAATGTGTCTGAGTGGGGTATTCATGCTTCACTGCGGCATGGTATCTCAGTGGGCTAGCACTATAAAACCAGCTTCAGTCTAGACTAGTACGAGCAGCTGCACATACACATACACACGCATGCAGGTCGTCATATGAGCGAAATATTCTCAAGCACGACGTTAAACCCAATTCCATCACCACCACTTCTACTGCATGGGAGATCCGGGTTAGAATTGACCTTCAGTAACCCATGTTTGTCGTAATAGGCGACTAACGAGATCGGGTGGTCAGGCTTGCTGACTTGTTCATGCTGTTGATCACTGTATTGTCGGTCCAGACTCGATTATTAACAGACCGCCGCCATATAGCTGGAATATTGCTGATTTCGTCGCAAAACTCAACTCACTCACCCTACTGCAATTTGGCACCCACGTTGGGGCTCTGGCGTAGAAGTGTCCGGGGTTCCATATTTGCAGTAAAAACTGACCAATGAGGACAGGGCGGTACTAACTGTCACCTGGCTGGACGTGTGCCAGCGTCCACTGTCTACTTGCTCAAAAGGTGGACCGAGACTAGAAGCCCCAACATGGCCCTTAGCATCTTGAACCCGCAGGTAACGGGTTCGAATCTCACATCTATACTCGTTGGTTTTAGTAAATTCTCTTTAAGCTACTCTAAAAAACCCACAAAACAACATACACAATAACATTAGATGGCCCGCAATCATGTAAGTGTAATAATGGAAGCCCTAACTTACACACTCTTTAACAACAACAACTGGTGTTAGTACTAAAGTTCATGTGACCCGTGAAGATCCGGGTTAGAATTGATCTTCAGTAACACATTCTTGTCGTAAGAGGCGACTAACGGGATCAGGTGGTCAGACTCGCTGACTTGGTTGACACATGTCATCGTATCCCATTTGCGTCGATCGATGTTCATGCTGTTGATCACTGGATTGTCTGGTCCAGACTCGACTATATACAGACCACCGCCATATAGCTTGAATATCGTTGTTGAATATTGCTGTGTGCGGCGCTAAACAACTACCAATCAAAAACCATATAGATATACAGGAAAATGTGAATGTGGAAATAACGGTACATTTTGGCAACCAAGGAAGATTGTACGATGACTTCGACAGCTTTGTTATATTTTATGAGCGATTCAAAGAATAGGTCCTCCCTACCCCCATCCATTTGATGCGTTTTAACAAACTTTATGGAAAGGTATCTCACAAGCGAAGTTATCTTCCGCATACACCTCATACACGTGATTTTTTTCCAACGTAGATTTTGTAACAACTAAGTAAAGAAAATAGCACCTGACAGTTACAAATGTTATCAAAACGTTTCCAGCTAAAATAGTCCCGAAGCACTGAACATGTATCCAATACATCGCCATGGAAACCACTTCTTCTTTGTAATATCTATCATCAAGCATATGTGAAGACTTTCGCGGGAGTTTACTATAACCCATGTATTTCTCTTTCGGGTGTAAACATAGATAGTAACATAATCTCATGTGGTTTATTGAATCATGTATATGACAGCGTTTACCGTAACTGGGGGAGCAAGCGCAAAACTGGTCGTAGATGTAAACAAGTGAGGCAAACTCATGACTATGCTCATTCTTCTGCGTGAACAGAAAAAATCAGATTAATCGATATTTTAATCGATCTGTGTGCTCTGATTACCGATATACGTATTCTGGACGATAACCAAACGATGCTGACAGACCAAGGATCATTATCGGGAAGGATGTTAGATTCGAACCCACGACAGCAGATCCTGGCATGGCTAAAGGGACACAGCCCTGTGCAATCTACCTCTACTCTGAAGGCACTGTAAGAGGCGACTAACGGGATCGGGTGGTCAGGCTCGCTGGCTTGGTTGACACATGTCATCGGTTCCCAGATCGATGCTCAGGCTGTTGATCACTGGATTGTCTGGTCCAGACTCGATTATTTAGAGACCGCCGCCATATAGCTGGAATATTGCTGAGTGCGGCGTAAAACTAAACTCACTCACTGAAGGCACTGCGTGTGATGGATCTTACGCATTACAACTACTTTTCATATCTTTTCAGGTACACTAGCTGAACATTCTCGTTGATTCATGGTAACCTCTCACTAGAATCGAGCAGGTTATATACGCTACTGTCGCGCATGCAACGTGTTTCGTCTAAGTTCACCCCTGTTATCGACATGCAATATACGAGATAACGACCCATCAGTAAGTGCGAATAGGATGATATCAACATGCCATGAACAACCAATATATCTACGTTATCTGCTGCAGAGGGAGTTGACGTGGAGGTGAAAGGTCACAAGCCACGATTGAGATGACATAAACGCGTATATTCAGAGATCAGCTCATTGGCATCAGATCCTACAAGTCGCGGATTGAAATCGACATGTTACGCTATGGCTGTTGAAAGTGATATGAACATGTTTGGATGAAAAGTTCGAGTAACGAAGGTAGGAAATCCACACGTGTTGTCAAGCTTATTTTTAACCTACACATTCCCTCAGTTCATGATCAGACACAACTAGTCATTGGTGGATGTTAAATATACTCCCATTCACCAAGCTCACTGTCTGCTGTTTCTCTGTATATCTAGAGCTAGATGTATTGTTTGGCAAATCTGTAATGCTTAACACTTGGTGAAAAGTGTCCGGATAAACGGGGTTACGTTGTATTATGTATTGCGTTGTATATATAAGTATGGCCCCGCGCGCCATTAATCGTCATGCCAACACTGTTGAATTACATTATTATTTAGTTCTCCATCCGATTCACATAACAAATCCACATGCTATGATGTACCAACACATTTTAGAATATTTTAAAGTTAGTTGTAAAGGGCTGTATAATCTGACTGAAAACTGGAGGGTACCGAATCAGGGTAAAATGTGTTATTTCAATGAGTTTTGAAAGGATGGGCAAACCGAAATATGAGTCTCATTAATCTATTCTGACAATGACCTACTTTTCAGCTGATCCGAATTTTCTCGTGTGAAAGTGAAAATAGACATCACAAACAACTATGGTTACAAATTGGTTATGGTTACGAATTCCAATTCCTTGTTTCATACGAAAATGGTATTTACAAATGAATTTTAATTTTAAACTTTAATAACATCGTATTTCTATACTTTATGGCGAGGTGTAGGCAGCATGATCTTAGCTAAGACGTCACAGACTGCCCCTGTTTAGTGAGATCGTAAAATGATTCACAATGCATCTGGCTCACTGGTTACACCTGTTATGTGTTTTTTGCGCTTATTCAGTGTAGTTCTGTAAAGCACAATGTGAGTGATGTAATATCAAGTCCGTACCAGACCGCCAAACTTTTCTAGCGGGAGAGCCTCGTTTTGATATTTCCACGATTTCCAGGTTTCCGTTTGTCAGAGCTCGCTGTTCGACAGAGCACTCTGCACGACGTGTTTGCAAGGATTAGAAGGAGCATAGTGTTGCACTAAACAAGTGCTTTGATGTATCAAATAATACTGATTAATAATTATGTATCCAGTTAAATGAATTGGTCCCAAAATTCTGGACTGGTTATTGTACTAGGAATAGGACGGGACCCAGTCAACAGGAAACAAGACTGCTGCGTAATCAATGTTTTGACTTGATTTGTTTAATATTCATTCGTCAAAAATGTGTGCCTGATTCGAAAACAAAGACGACAACATATTTCACCTCAGACTCTTAACCTCAGATATTTATGATTCGTGCAATCAAGTAATGATTTAATAAATCGTGTGTGACCATATTCAAGATGACCCTGTTTAGTGGCACTGATAATTAACAATAACCGTTACCTTCAACAGAAACCGATTTGAAAATAGACATTCTTCGTCCCAATCCGAATAGCTTTTTAGCACCAAACATTCAAACTTTAGTACAAACACAGAGTTACATTATTACACTTACATGATTGCGGGCCATCTAATGTTATTGTGTATGTTGTTTTGTGTGTTTTTTTAGAGCAGTTTAAAGAGAATTTAATAAAACCAACGAGTATACATGTGAGATTCGAACCCGTTACCCGCATGTTCACGGATGAGATCGATGCTCAAACTGTTGATCACTGGATTGTCTGGTTCAGACTTGATTATTTACATATCGCCGCCATATAGCTGGAATTACAAACAAACAAAACCCTCAACTCAATTTACAAATCACCTTGATATGCACACGTGGAACATATCTCACTGAAACAACACTCATCATCACATAGGGCAGGTCTACTGATAACGCGTGGACACGATTTCAGTGCTTGACCAGTGCTTCATGTGTTCGCTCGTTTACGTCATACAACGGGATATGTATACATACCCTGGACCATTTCACCATCAAAGGTTCGACACCATGCCCAATTTCCTTATTACTAACTTAGCATAGCATAGGATCGTGAGCTTAATCTGATCGTGGGACGTTATGTCTTGTATGCTTCTCAACGATGTATAGATCACCGGAATGTCTAGTCCAGACTCGATTATTTACAGACCGCCGCCACATAGCTGGAATATTGCTGAGTGTGGCGTAAAACTAAACTCACTCACTCACGATGCATGACACATTGGGTAATAGAGGATAGACAAGTATAACTACAAGCGACGTAAAATCACACCCACTTTTTTATGTTACTATTTAAGGGCCCATTATAAAAATATTCGTATGCTCAAAGCATGATCACTATAGCACGAGAATATAATACATGTTCAACTTGTGATTTCAGCTCTGATCAAATCAACACCAAGCAACCATGGTTCAAGTAACCCCGACCGTGCCTCCAGTCGGTCCGGGCCCCAACGCGACCTTCACCGCAGTCGACGCAGCTTACGTCATCATAACCAATGGCGTGTCCGTCATTTCCATTATTGGCAACCTCGTCATCGTCGGGTGCTACTACATGTACCACGACATCAGAACAACTGGTCGCAAACTACTGGTCTGCCTCAGTATTGCGAACTTCATCATGTGTATAGCGGCTCTGCTGCAGGCGGCGACGTTCTACAAGAGCACGGAGCGGGTGTTGCAGGAACGTAGTGTGTTGTGTGAGACGGCGGCCTTGTTTACAGTGTACTCGCACACGGCGATGTGTTTGTGGACAGACGCCATCGGCTTCTATCTGTTCCTCTGTATGACGTTACGCTTCATTGTGGTGGCCAACAGGGTGACGTGGCTGTTCCACGTGTTTTCATGGATTATGCCAGGTACTTGGTGGGACAAATATACTTCCCTTGTTGTTACAATTTTACATGTTTAAACACTAATATGATGTTTGGAATTATAACTGTGACCAAATTTGATTTGTTCATTTTTGTTTATTGACATTCCTACTTGCTGAGTGTTTCAGTTTCTGATAAACAAGGCTGAATTTCATTAATCAGTTTTTTGGGACTGCAAACGTCATGTGACCAAGAACTATATTTACTCACTTAACAGCTGAAGACGTCAATATCCTCATCTTTTGCCACGACGCACAGTTTAGTGACTGGTGGGAATGATGGGAAGGAAACATTACGGTTATCTCATTCCTAACGTGTTACCGATGGACAGACGTAACGCTACGTACACTTTGAAAACCAGATCCAGTTTGTTGCATCGTTTCACATATTTTACCACTTGATAGTATGGTATCTCTTGTTGTAGCTGTCGTTGCCTTTTCTGCCGGCGCCTCCGACGTCTACGGGTACGACGACACGTTTCTGCGTAAACACCGTCGCCCAGCGCCATGTTGGATCAGCGACAGAGTCTCCAATAAAATGGACTGGTATTTTGTCACTGTCGAAGGCTGGACGCTGGCGTCCTATTTGGCGTCTATCCTGCTGTATGTGGTCATCACGTGCAGCGTTAACTGGAAGGTACGCCATGAACGTCGTTTACATCAACGTCATTCTCCGCAGTTTAGTGATGTTTAAAGTAAATCTAAGTTAGAATTGGTCCCTAGTAACCTGGGCTTAGATTTTCGAAGCTCTCTTAGCGCTAAGATAGTCGTAAGTCCCATACATTAACATTAACTTACGACTGTCTTAGCGCTAAGAGAGCTTCGAAAATCTAGGCCCTGTTCTTGTCCCGAAAACCTGCTGTTCGTACGATGGTGTGGTATTGTGTCACTACTTCTCACAGGGGCGGTCGGGTAGCCTAGTGGTTAAAGCGTTCGCTCGTCACGCCGAAGACCCGGGTTCGATTCCCAACATGGGTACAATGTGTGAAGCCCATTTCTGGTGCTCCCCGCCGTTATTTAATGCAGTAAATACAGCATTTGGAGGTGAGTGTCGAGTGACGTGCATTAGATTGGTACTGTTAACTCACACTGGCCTTGTCAAACCGTTTGCCTTTTTATTAACAGGCGATCAAAAAGGTTGATCGTGAGTACGTCATAGAGGACATGGCTATTCAGACAGCCAATAAACAACTCCGTTACATCCCTATCATCTTCATATGTCTGCGCATCTGGGGAACGCTGTACTTCTTGTGTGTCCAGTACGGCACCGCCAGGGCAAGGGACCTGTTTGCTGATTGGCTACTCATTGCAAAGGTGAGCTGTGCTGTAGCATTAATCAAAACAAAAGGACATTTCTGATTGGCTGCTAGATTATATCTGCTAAAGATATAGTTTGTCAGAGACTGACTTAAAACCAAAGTCTAGTGCATCCGGATAGTCTTTCCTTAAGATATCTGACCCGTGAAGATCGGGGTTAGAATGGTCCTCAGTAACCCATGCTTTTTCGTAAGAGGCGCCTAACGGGATCAGGTGGTTGGTTGGTCGGGACTTGGTTGACACAATCATGTCATCGTATACCAATTGCGTACATAGATGCTCATGCTGTTGATCCCTGGATTGTCTGGTCCAGACTCGATTATTTACAGACCGCCGCCATATAGCTGGAATATTGCTGAGTGCGGCGTTAAACAACAAACCAACCAACCTTAAGATATGTTTACGTCTACTGTAAAAAGTAAGTTACTATACTGTTTGACACTGAAAGGGGTCTCTGTCTCTGGAACATGGTCTTATATATGTAAATATATCCTTATCATCGCAGGCCATAGGCGACAACTCAATCGGACTGGCCAACTGTATGCTGTTCCTGTTGTCTATCAAAGCTATGCGGAAACGAATAGCCAGGTGGTTCAGTGAAAGGTGCAAGGGCAAGGTCAGCATGCCAGAGAATTGGCGGCCATCTATCATCGTCAGACGGATGCAGAAGAAAAAGGCTAAAGGCCTGGACCTCTCCGGTATATCCTTGGACTTCCCCACAAATGAAGATTCGTCCTCCATCGTCGACGACGATATCCTGTTTGAACGGGAAGTTTGATCTTTTCACCTGAACTTACTCCTAGCTAATGCACAAGGAATAGCTAGAAACATGGCGGTAAACTATTATGTAACCAACAGACATTGATATAAGAACACATAGTAAGGGTGTAGTATTTCCAATTGTGCTTCTTACCAGCTATCAACATATACAAGTATCCGAGGATGTTTTGAATGGTGTTTGAACACTATATGATCTTGACCTTATATTGATATGACCTGGCCCTTACTCAAGTATGTTGCTATGGCTGCATTTACTGCACCAGAATTACAATGTTTGATGTACAGCGTTCATTCTCAGAGTAGCTTTGCTTTGTGTCGCGATGTATCCATGGTCTACACGTGCTACTCTTATTGCACCATCCTTATTCGGCTGTTGTGCTGTACATAAAAGTTTCATGGGTTTAGAGACGTTTTACCTGTATGGCATGCACGTAAAGATACATGGTGAGAGTTGCGCTTGCTATCATGAGGACTAGTTTGAAGCTGCTCTCATGCTGGCACAGCTTCGGTCCACAGAATCTATGTTTAGCTGTGAGGGACCGTTCATAATTTATGGCTATGGGGTGGTGGTGGTGGTGGTGTGTGTGGTGGTGTGAGATGATGATTTTAAGGGTGGGGGGTGTCACCCATTTGTTCTGGGGAGGTAGGGGGTGAGCAATATTTGTACATAGATATATTAAAAAATTATGCTTAAAAATGATGGGAAGGGGGAAGGGGGTAATTGATTTTGTACATGATATGCAAGGGAAATCAACTACTTTGTACGTGAGGTGATGTGAAATTGGGTTTAACGTCGTGCTTGAAAATATTTCGCTCCTATGACGACGTACATGCGTGTGTATGTGTATGTGCGGCTGCTTGTACTAGCCCAGACTTAAGCTGGTTTTATAATGCTAGCCCACTGAGATACCATGCCGCAGTGCAGCATGAATACCCCACTCAGACACATTATACTGACTCCGAGCCGACCAGTCCTTGTTGTACCCATTAATGCCGCACGTCTTTTGGTATGACGCGGTCGGGGATCGAACCCGCGACCTTCCGCTCTCCGGGCGGACGCTCTAACCACTACACCACGGAGGCGGTCACTTTGTACGTAAAGTTTAGGGGAAGTCATTCACATTGTACTTGCCTCTGCATATAAATCATCACACACTCACCCATTACAAGGACCATGAATGACATAACATAGCTGTATGATGTTATAGTTTTAGTGATAATAAATGTTTGTAAATTTCAAAATTGCCCTTTGATTGTGACACTTTTATTGTCTTGGTAGGCCAGATACTTATACTCTGTGCACTGTTCTACCGAGACTATCATTTGTAGAAGATTTGCATCTGTATTCAGAGTGAAATTAAATCACTTGAGACATTAAAAGCTTTTTAGTCCTTGCATTGGGAAACAATGACTCCAGTGTGATAAATCTCGAGACAGTGATAATGCTTGCTTATGGAACATCTAGAACCAGTCTCATTCAGTCTGACACGATACCTCTCTACAACAAGATCAGACAGACTTTCCATGGGTCACGTCCGGAGAACTCTGGGCGAACTTCTGCTGCCCAGAAGAAATTAAGAAAAACAATGGATATTTGTAAATGATTCGGCCTCAGTTCACTTATGTCATTAAGGTCCCCACCTGGAAGTTTCCGAAAAGAAACCCAACAAAATACACGTTCCCTTATGAAATCCTTGGTGTCCAGAAACCACCCGTCACTGAACAGAGGGTCAACATTTCTACATGCATTAGAACTGCCTTTGTTGGTTCGTTTTCAGATACAAAAGACTTGTTTACCTGCACGCTTCGTTCAGTGGTTTCCGAGGATTCATTTAATTGAACGTTTGTGAGATTTTGACGCAAGGTATATCACGTCTGAGTAGAATAGGTGAGATCCGGAACTAGGTTCTAATGAGAGATTCCAAGTAAGAAAACAGGTCCCTGCAACCTGTGCTTGTTGAGAGTCCATCATGGCTCGATTACTTGGATGGTGGATTTCTTCGTATCACATCTTTTAAATGTTTATCCGAATGCATTTGGTAAAGGGAAGTAACTCGGTTGTTTTCGTTGCGAGTTTTGATAACTCCGTGAAACCGATGACCAGTACTAAAGAATACTATACGAGGTCTCATTACATACGAATTATAATGAACGAGTGTCCTTCCTATGGTATCTGACCGAGCGAAAGCGAGGTCAGATAACATAGGAAGGTCACGAGGCTGTCTTGTAACATTCGTATGTAATGAGACCGAGTGTGGCATTTTATTTATTACCCACGTCTTACATGCATTAAATTGACAAAATAGCGTATTTTTGTATTTTTTCGTTTCAAACCGAAACCGGTTTCATGAAGAGGTTGCGGAAGAGTTTTGTACTGTAGTACAAGATTTGCATGACGTCACACTGTAATGACGACGCTGCCTTGGTAACCGACGTCACGATGCATGTCAGTTGTCATCGCCTTGTACAACCTCCTACAGTAAACTACTCCGTAGCACCGCGTTTCTTGGTTTGCAGTTGCTTCAATCGGCTAACATCACTGGTGGAAACATTGCGTTTATGTTTTCGACGGATATAATGTCTCAGTTCGGCTCACAATTAAACAGCGACACGGCAACGTTCGCGATGTTTACATTCCCACAATGCATTTAAGTTGTAGAATGATTGAATTCACGTGTTGAAGAATGAAAAAATAGTTACGTCAGAATGTGACCTGAATGAGAGGTCATCGGTTATCCAATCAAATCGTTATAATCTCAGGTCAAGTCGTTACGACACAGGTCAACGTGATACGACACTCGTGTGACGTACGAGATTAGTATGCAACTACCCATACGTTGACCACGTGGGTAATAATAAAGAATGTCGGCGAGATCAATTCAACCGATCCTCAATCCAACACCGGAATAATAGTCACCAATGGATCCACATCTGTTGACTGATGGATGAAATAACTAATGACACTAAACATGTTTATTATCATTCCAGAAACAAACATTAAGAGTTTGGTTACATATAAAACATAAATATATAAAAACAACAACATCCTTGAGTTGATAATATTAAGAAGTTTATATACAAACGGAGGTATTATTGTAGCCTGGCCTTGTAAAACCCTCACAGGTAGGGCTGGGGACGATACATATTGCTATATTCACCTGCAATAAGATACGTATCACGATACATACACGATATTTGAAAGAATGACACACGGTATCAAGATTTAAAATGATTCATTTCAAGGTATTTGTGCATAACAATAACACTGTTGTAATAAACAAACAAGTAACTCCATCATACTTGCGTATTTTCTCTAAATAAGTACTGTAACACGTTTAAGATAATACTGTTTTGAAAAAAAGTTGTGTATGGTTTTGTATCGATACACCAGTCAACGATACGATAGCTGTATCAAACTTAAATGTATCGCATCGGTGAATCGTCCCAGCCCTACTCACAGGTTAACATCAGGGCAGTGTTTTTGAGTCGACCCGTGAAGAATCTTATTGAGTATTACTATTGACATGATACTATCCAAGTACAACTACCATTATGTCACATTTTTGTGTAAACCTACCTATATCTTACAACATACTAATATTATGTAAAGTCATCAATTTTCACTATTCATGTAAAGCCACTAGAATGTTAATATTTATGTAAAACTGCCAAAATTTCACACTTCATGTAAAATACTAATATTTAACCTTTTGAAGACAAAACACGCTGTACTAAAACACTGCTAAAATTACAACATTGTTTCAGAAGTGATATGTGGAGTCTATTACTATACACATGGTAAACATTTTGTTTATAACCGAGTATACAATGGACATCACCAGAATAAATAGACAGACTGAGATCATATTGAAACTATGCATTTGCAGCATGTGAAAGACTGAAGTGTTTTCCCATGTGTCTACTATGTTCCTTTTAGGAGGCAGAAATCCTAGTCATATTGTGATTGCTGCTCTCATGGTACTTCGAAACTCAAGTGAAACATAACAGAGGCTTACTGTTCTTAGAATTGCACCCAGAATGATTGTTTTGTTTTGTTTTGTTTCTACAGAGTACAAAGAAGTGAGTGAGTGAGTGAGAGTACTTTTAACACATACTTGAGGACAAGTCAGCCTTATGTTGCAACAAGGTTGAAAGGACAGTTATCACTAAAGGGTTGAATCAACTTGAATGATCAATCAGAGATCACCCTGAGTGATGTAACTCTTCAAATGACTGGGTTTTTTTAAAGAACAATTGCATATTTTAGTATAAAGATCACTTTAGCCTATTTACTTGACATTTTTGTCAACTGTTGCCAAATATCACCTGATACAATGTTTCTAGTCTCTCCCTCCATCGCTCTCAACCATGGTTAGAAGAGGCAAATATGTTTTATTTGAAGGATGAGGGATATTTATAAAAATCCACATTTTCACCTTATTTTCCTGCATTGGTCAGTACAGCAAAAACGTTATGCAAAAACTGAATTTGTTGTTGAAGCTGATTGTATGATATATGCAGAGTTCTGTCCCTTGTCCTTGCTACAGACCCTGACAAAATTAACTTCCTTATCTTTCAGATAAACACTGTCAAAGAGTATAAAAGGTACTTCAGTTGAAGCCTTTGTCATAAAAATAATGCTTATTTCCTCTGACTTCTGAACACTGCAGAGATAATGTGAAAACCATGAGACTTAACCCATGTGGTTAACCCTTCCATAGTAGGAGAGGCTGATGTCAGAGGGTGCCGATTGTCGAGGGGGAGATTTCTGTTTCTCTTCATGATTGTCTGTTCATGATTGTCTGTTGCACAAGCATGTCTACCAGTGACTGGGTGGGAGGGGTGCATCTGCAGCAACATAGTCCCCCATGCTTGTCTGCAGCATCTTCTGCGACAGCTGCAGCTTGTGGTAGAAGCGCAACACCTCAGTATTGGCCCGCACACAGCTGCGGTCAAAGTCCAGCACTCGCAGGCCCTCCAGGCTCTTGGCCCGGGATAACGCCACATACGCCTGGCCGGCCTCGAACACCCTGGCCAGTGAGATCTCCACACAGTCCAGCGTCATGCCCTGCACACACAGATGGATCAGTAACAAGACATGCTAACAGTATCATATTAATACATACCAGCATACCTCATCTAAATGATATGACTAAAATGCATTGCTAAAAATAACATAAAAATATTGTGCACAGACAAATATTGATAGTGATATAAAAGTGTATTCTGTTTCCAATAAGGAAATTTGAACGAAACATTCTAAAACAGTAAACATATACAATGATACAGATGTAAATAGAAACTATGAAGTAGTGGAGAATATATGAATACATATTTAATTATTTCACTTCCCTTGCACAACTCTGAGTTACTTTGATATTTATACATTCATTAGTTCAACAGTTAGTGAGTAAGGTTAGGTTAAATGCTTCTATTCCCAATTTGTTGTCACTTCATACGTGCTTGATATGAAAGGTAGGTCGAGGTGATGTAGGTCTTAGACTTTAATGACTGAAACCCACCAGGAGAAGATGGTGCAGACAAACCAGGAATCAAACCCAAGATCATGCATTTCTAAGGGAAAAATTCCACAGACATGGAATGAAGTATAAAAGTTTTTATCGTATAACATGTTTTATCAGCGGAGGCTTGAATCTGGTGAGTGAGTGAGGGAGTGAGAATTTTACACCAGTTTCTTGAAAGCAATATTCCAGTCATTAATTGTTTTAATGTTAAGACCATCATTGCGCCAGGAGGGGAATAATACCAAGACTTGCATGTGACAATGCATCGCTCTGACCACGTGGTTACCACCATGAACATTGTAATGGGTAATGACCTCCCAAACTAAACAGCAACAATGGTGACAAACTGTAGACACCACTAACCTGACTCTTGTGTATAGAGATGGCCCAGGCCAGTTTGAGGGGAACCTGTTTCCGCATGAGGACCACCCCACTGCCAGCCTTCATGGCCCAGCGTACAGGCTTGATCACTTCCTCCAGGCCACAGGCGAACTTCACACGGGGGAATCCTGCAACAACAGAGATGCGTCAGCAATGCAAGGAATCTCGAAAGGACAGCATCAGCTTCCACTTGGACTCCCAGATTGGTGAATCTTGGTCATTTATAATGGGGTGGTCGTAACAAATGACCAATCCTATATAATGTTAAAACCTATAACTTTGCTTTTGGAAAAAAATCCAACAAAAGCAACTCAGAACTGTTTCTTAATTTTGTACCCCTACTATATAATTGTGATCATTCTTGTGATCCTCTTTAGCTGTTATACTATCACCTATAACCCCTTCCCTTCAAATCTTCATAAATAATTCCATATTCATTTTTTTAATTGATAATACCTAAAAGAAATTTGAAAGTACAAAAAATACCATGGGTTGGTTTGAACATGTACAATTGACTGAGCGAGTTTGGTTTTATGCCGCTTTTAGCAATATTCCAGCAGTATCACGGCAGGGGACACCAGAAATGGGCTTCACACATTGTGCCAAAACCCGGGTCTTCAGCGTGACGAGCGAAAGCTTTAACCACTAGGCTACCCACCGCCCCTGAATATATACAACACATGACATACAGACAATGCTTCTGAAGAACACTGGACACTAAAGAGCTACCTGCAGGGGAGATTCCGAATGTTTACCTCAGTTTGTTTCAACCTTCCCATTAGTGCTAACATAACATCAAACTGAGACCCTTCATCTATGGCAGAACAAGTACAGCAAGTTTCTACACACCATCACTACTGTTCTCGAAGCCAGTGATGACACCGCGAGCTCCCGTTCACCAACCCTCTCTGCACTTCCATATTCTTTGCCAGCATCACCTGTAACCATAGCAACAGTGACTGACTGATTATAATCGCTTCTAATATTTGATGCATGGGAGTGAGTGGATGGTTGGGTGGGGGGTGATTGGATTGTTTGTGGTTAATTAAAGACACCTGGAGATAAAACAGGACAAAGCACAGCGTCTGGGGACCTGTTCACTCTTGGAATACCAAATGAGAAACGTTCTGGGTACCTATTCGGCATAGGTGTCCACACTGAGACAAGCCTGTGTTAGTGGAGACCTATCTGTAGATCATGAAGCACACATTCAGATCCCAACTCACCTGTGCCCCCAGCCTCAGCAGCAGTTTGTCTGGCACCGGACAGAGGTTGTTGATCTGTTTGCTGTACACTGGGTCGGTGTCTGTTGCGTGAAACATACGACTCTCACCTGAAATCAACAATCTCTGATTTCACTATTGTCACACTCTGTTAATACTGTTATGTAGTCAATAACCAAAACAATCGCCCATGTAGTCACTATCACACACTACCATCCACAGCTTCAGAAGGTATCTTTACCTTGGGCCGTCCAGTGTCTCCTAGGTATGGAATGGACAAAGCGTATTGTCTCTGTATGTTATGGACAGTGTGTACAGTGCCTACTCTCTGTTATGGACAGTGTGTACAGTGCTTACTCTCTGTTATGGACAGTGTGTACAGTGCTTACTCTCTCTGTTATGGACAGTGTGTACAGTGCCTACTCTCTGTTATGGACAGTGTGTACAGTGCTTACTCTCTCTGTTATGGACAGTGTGTACAGTGCTTACTCTCTCTGTTATGGACAGTACCTACTCTCTCTGTTATGGACAGTGCCTACTCTCTCTGTTATGGACAGTGTGTACAGTGCCTACTCTCTGTGTTATGGACAGTGCCTACTCTCTATGTTATGGACAGTGTGTACAGTGCCTACTCTCTGTGTTATGGACAGTGTGTGACAGTGCCTACTCTCTGTGTTATGGACAGTGCCTACTCTGTGTTATGGACAGTGTGTACATTGCCTACTCTCTGTGTTATGGACAGTGCCTACTCTCTATGTTATGGACAGTGTGTACAGTGCCTACTCTGTGTTATGGACAGTGTGTACAGTGCCTACTCTGTGTTATGGACAGTGCCTACTCTCTGTTATGGACAGTGTGTACAGTGCCTACTCTGTGTTATGGACAGTGTGTACAGTGCCTACTCTCTGTGTTATGGACAGTGTGTACAGTGCCTACTCTCTGTGTTATGGACATGGACAGTGTGCCTCTGTGTTATGGACAGTGTGTACAGTGCCTACTCTCTCTGTTATGGACAGTGTGTACTGCCTACTCTCTGTTATGGACAGTGCACCTACCTCTCTGTTATGGACAGTGTGTACATTGCCTACTCTCTGTGTTATGGACAGTGTGTGTTATGGACAGTGCCTACTCTCTCTGTTATGGACAGTGTGTACAGTGCCTACTCTCTGTGTTATGGACAGTGTGGACAGTGCCTACTCTCTGTGTTATGGACAGTGTGTACAGTGCCTACTCTGTGTTATGGACAGTGTGTACAGTGCCTACTCTCTGTGTTATGGACAGTGTGTACAGTGCCTACTCCTATGTTATGGACAGTGTGTACAGTGCCTACTCTCTGTTATGGACAGTATGTACAGTGCCTACTCTCTGTTATGGACAGTGCCTGCCTACTCTCTCTGTTATGGACAGTGTGTACATTGCCTACTCTCTGTGTTATGGACAGTGTGTTATGGACAGTGCCTACTCTCTGTGTTATGGACTCTGTGTGTACAGTGCCTACTACTCTGTGTTATGGACAGTGTGTACCAGTGCCTACTCTCTGTGTTATGGACAGTGTGTACATTGCCTACTCTCTGTTATGGACATGGACAGTGCCTACTCTCTGTGTTATGGCCTGTTATGGACTGTACTCTACTCTATGTTATGGACAGTGTGTACAGTGCCTACTCTCTGTGTTATGGACAGTGTGGACAGTGCCTACTCTCTGTTATGGACAGTGTGTACATTGCCTACTCTCTGTGTTATGGACAGTGCCTACTCCCTATGTTATGGACAGTGTGTACAGTGCCTACTCTCTGTTATGGACAGTGTGTACAGTGCCTACTCTCTGTGTTATGGACAGTGTACAGTACTACTCTGTGTTATGGACTATGTTATGGACAGTGTGTACAGTGCCTACTCTCTGTGTTATGGACAGTGTGGACAGTGCCTACTCTGTGTTATGGACAGTGCCTACTCTCTATGTTATGGACAGTGTGTACAGTGCCTACTCTCTGTGTTATGGACAGTGTGTACAGTGCCTACTCTGTGTTATGGACAGTGTGTACAGTGCCTACTCTCTGTGTTATGGACAGTGTACAGTGCCTACTCTCTGTACAGTTATGGACAGCGTGTATGGACAGTGCCTACTCTGTGTTATGGACAGTGCCTGCCTACTCTCTGTGTTATGGAGTGTGTGTGCCTACTCTCTATGTTATGGACAGTGTGTACAGTGTTATGGACAGTGTGTACAGTGCCTACTCTGTGTTATGGACAGTGTGTACAGTGCCTACTGTGTTATCAGTGCCTACTGTTATGGACAGTGCCTACTCTCTGTGTTATGGACAGTGTGTACAGTGCCTACTCTGTGTTATGGACAGTGTGTACAGTGCCTACTCTCTGTGTTATGGACAGTGCCTACTCTCTATGTTATGGACAGTGTGTACAGTGCCTACTCTGTTATGGACAGTGTGTACAGTGCCTACTCTCTGTGTTATGGACAGTGTGTACAGTGCCTACTGTGTGTTTTATGGACAGAGTCTCCAGTGCCTAATGCCTACTGTGTGTCCTGGTGTGAAGAGTCCCTACCAGTCAGCTTCTGCAGGTGATGGTTGTTGAGTTGTTCCACATCCTCCTTGTGTGTACACAGTCTGGTTGCTAGGATACCATCTTTCTGGATATTGTGGCGGGCAGTTGCCTTCAGCGTGTTCTGAACATCATCAGAACATCTGTCATATATGAAAAACAAGTAAAATTTCAGAGCTTTGGCAAATAATACCGCTGAAACATCTTCCCAAACATCTTCACTCCCTCTCTTGTATCACTGGTCATTGTCGTCTTTAAAATTGGTTTTCGGACTCTGGTTTCAGTGACACAGGAAAGTAATCTGTGTCTAAACTCTTAAAGAAATAATGGAGTACTGAGAGCTCTTTCGCTTTCCCCGACAACACAGGCTCCAAGCTTGTCTTTATGTCCACTAAGTGAGTACAAGATGGTTAAAATGTGTGACTTCATTAATTTGTTCCACTATCCCAAAGGCAGTGGTTCGCCTGGTCCTGAGGTGGAACGTTGCTGAGTGATGAACCAACACTTCGTACCTGCCAATTCTGATGTTCTGCAGCACGTTGATGAAGTGTCTGTCGGACTGTCTCCGCACCTCACTGAGTTCCAGGTTGACATGCATACACTTCTGCCACGCCCTTGACTGTAACCAACAGACAGTTCTAACACTGTGTTAACAGTCCAACACAATCATGTCCTATGTAACACAATCTCCCTTCATATAACATTGTTTTCCTTCTTATGTCCTTCTAAATCTTCATATGGCAATTTTCTTGAATATATAAATTAGACATGTGATTTCTCTATATACATATCAATTTCACTATATATCACACCATCTCTTAATGTACACAAGCTCTCTGTGTGTAACACAAACGCTCTACATGTAAGACAATCTTGTATGACATAATGTATGTTTAACACTAGCTCTTAATGTGTAACACAATTCCCCTTCACTTTCAACATATCGTTGAAGATGCTGAATAACCAATTTGTTTTGTTTAACATAATCAATCAAGAGTATATATGTATATATTCCACATGCTTAAGACACTGAATGTTCCAGAGTGTAGGCTGACCCCAGTCTGTGGGAGGAGCCTACTGCTGGACAAGTGTCAGACTGACCTGAGTGTAGGCTGACCCCAGTCTGTGGGAGGAGCCTACTGCTGGACACGTGTCAGACTGACCTGAGTGTTAGGCTGACCCCAGTCTGTGGGAGGAGCCTACTGCTGGACAAGTGCCAGACTGACCTGAGTGTAGGCTGACCCTAGTCTGTGGGAGGAGCCTACTGCTGGACACGTGTCAGACTGACCTGAGTGTAGGCTGACCCCAGTCTGTGGGAGGAGCCTAGCTGGACTGCCAGACTGACCTGAGTGTAGGCTGACCCCAGTCTGTGGGAGGAGCCTACTGCTGGACACGTGTCAGACTGACCTGAGAGGCTGAGTCTGTGGGAGGAGCCTACTGCTGGACAAGTGCCAGACTGACCTGAGTGTAGGCTGACCCTAGTCTGTGGGAGGAGCCTACTGCTGACCCCAGTCTGTGGGAGGAGCCTACTGCTGGACAAGTGCCAGACTGACCTGAGTGTAGGCTGACCCCAGTCTGTGGGAGGAGCCTACTGCTGGACACGTGCCAGACTGACCTGAGTGTAGGCTGACCCCAGTCTGTGGGAGGAGCCTACTGCTGGACACGTGCCAGACTGACCTGAGTGTAGGCTGACCCCAGTCTGTGGGAGGAGCCTACTGCTGGACACGTGTCAGACTGACCTGAGTGTAGGCTGACCCCAGTCTGTGGGAGGAGCCTACTGCTGGACAAGTGCCAGACTGACCTGAGTGTAGGCTGACCCCAGTCTGTGGGAGGAGCCTACTGCTGGACAAGTGCCAGACTGACCTGAGTGTAGGCTGACCCCAGTCTGTGGGAGGAGTCTGAGTGTAGGGAGGAGGAGCCTACTGCTGGACAAGTGCCAGACTGACCTGAGTGTAGGCTGACCCCAGTCTGTGGGAGGAGCCTACTGCTGGACAAGTGTCAGACTGACCTGAGTGTAGGCTGACCCCAGTCTGTGGGAGGAGCCTACTGCTGGACAAGTGTCAGACTGACCTGAGTGTAGGCTGACCCCAGTCTGTGGGAGGAGCCTACTGCTGGACAAGTGTCAGACTGACCTGGAAACAGAACTTCCTCTTGACCGCCTGATCTTTGATGACCGGCGGCAGTTGCAGGAAGTCTCCACACACTATCAGCTGGATCCCGCCGAATGGTTCATCTGTCTGACGCATAACTCTGAAAATACACCACACAAAACACACTCATTTGTTTGTTGTTAAACAATGGAGTCAACAGTATTAAACTAATACTGTAAGTAAATATTTGGGTCAGAAAATCCAATGATTGACACAATAAGTATTGATGAAGTAGGGTGACACACAATCAACAAGTGATCAAGCCTCCGTTTAGTCATCTCTCACAACAAATATGGGGATGTATATTCTTACTTGGAAAATTTGGAATCCCCACCAGTGAAAGTGGAACATCAATACGTCATGCACATGTTCACCATTTTCTTCAGATGTTCAGGAGCATGCTCAATGTAACACACTCGACTCATCAAAAACAAATAAATCTCAGATATATACTACCCATCAAAAGTTAAGACTCACTTAAAACACTCACTATATGTTATGTATAAACATGTGGTTACATCGAAGATGAATTTCTCCACTAACTTGGGGGAACCAACTGCAAACCTTATGGAGATGAATTGCACGAGGATCATGAATTGCTGAAAAGTATGTGCAAATATTGTGCATCATGCATCAACTTGTTGTTTTATCATTTACTGAACTCATGGCAATAAACTTTTCAACGTTACGAATTTGTTTTACAATACATCTGTTCATGTGTAAACAGTACCCTTAAACTGTATGGAATATTTTGCAAAATCTAGTTTACATCAGTTGACTGAAGTAAGTGGCTACATTTACACTAGTGAGTCTAATCTTTTGATGGGGAGTATATGATATCTGATACGGCATGGATTAATGTTCCACACACACCCCAAGCTGCAAAATGCAAAAGATTAAATTATCTAATGGCAGCTAATGCAAAGAACCACCATACGCATGGGTAATTAACACTGACATGCAAGAAGACACACTATTGATGAAAGGAAGAAAGCACAAGAATAGGTCACTTCAGAATTTTTTCAATATTGATCTGGTTACCTGGCAACTGTTTCCAGCTTGTCAAAGAAGTCCCCATCCACCATAGATATTTCATCAATGATAAGATGGTGGCATTTCTTCCACTGCTGCGCCACCTGGGGACGAGATGCAAGCTCCACACACTGTTGTAGGGCGGCTCTTCCTGAACCAATACCTAGGATACAAGTCGGAAAATCTTTACATGAAGATCCGTCATGAAGGTCGTCCATAAAGTACTCAGCAGCCATTATGACCACATGATCCCATTTTGGAGAGCATAACTGTTACGCATATGAAGTTCTGCCCACCTTGTCCTGCTCATGAGTGAGTCAAGTTAAACACTGCTTTGAATGGGATTTCAGTTTATACTGGAGACCTGTGCCAGCTGAATGTTGGAGATAGTCTAAGTGATGCAGGTCTAACATGTATTTGAACTTTGGTGAACAACAGGAGAGAATGAATGGCAGATTCAACCCAGACAACAAGAGTATACCGAACAACAAACAGTGCTTAATCAGAACAACACCTGCCAGGTAAAGTAATGATCAGTTTCACCAATTTGGTTTCCATCCACAGTTTTCTTCTAATTGGTTCACATTATAACTATCCGTTAAATTAACCCATTTCAAGCTTTTCAATTCTGTTGAGTTGTGCTCTTTTTGTGAGATCACAAACCCCAGTACCTCAAACCAAACACAAAGCTATGCCCAGCCTCTAAGATGCTGCTGTAAATGTAAGTGAGTGAGTGAGTTTAGTTTTACACTACACTCAGCAATCTTCCAGCTATTTGGCAGTTGGTCTGTAAATTAATCGAGTCTGGACCAGACAATCCAGTGATCAACAGCATGAGCATCGATCTGCGTAATTGGGAACCGATGACATGTGTCAACCAAGTCAGCGAGCCTGACCACCCAATCCTGTTAGTCACCTCTTACAACAAGCATAGTCGCCTTTTGTGGCAAGCATGGGTTGCTGAAGACCTATTCTACCCCGGATCTTCACGGGTCTGTAAATGTAAGTAGAGTTGTTTCCCTTGATGACAGGGTGTGGTCCCAGTTCTGACACTAATTGATTAAACTGTCTAACCTCAAAGATGTACCTTCAAATGTTGGTAGAGTTGTTCCCCTTTAATGACAGGTTGTGATGACCATCAACTAAGTGAGTGAGTGAGTGAGTTGGATTTTACGCTGCTTTTAGCAATATTCCAGCAATATCATGGTGGGGGACACCAGAAATGGGCTTCACATGTACCCATGTGAGGAATCGAACCCGGGTCTTCAGCATGAAGAACGAACCACTAGGCTACCCCACCACCCCTCCATCAACTAAGATGTACTGGTACCTGCAAATGCGTGTAAAGTTGTCCCTCCTATATGGCAGGCTGCGACACCAGTACTGGCTGTGGCGAATGTGTGCTGAGGTGGCAGAGCTCCTAAAAATGAAGGTCAATGATCACAAAATTAAACATCACAAGTTGTTGAATTTTACTTTTTTCTGATCAACACAAAATAGGTGATGTTAAAGATGATAATAACAGGTCACTTATACAATTCAAGACTTCACACTTCTGGAGGCCATGATTGAAGCATTGGATGTTTTTACCATGTTCAACAAATCAATGTGCTTTCAAAGGAATTTCTCAGCTCCCTGGGAAGTACACTATCCAGTTTACCATTACCATCTCATCCTACCAGCTTCCAATTCACAGCTTGCTTAACAGAGGGGTATTTCAAGCAGTTAATAGGATTTATGGACACCTTATGGGACTTCACACAATGCTGTGTTTAATATGTCAACATAATTACCTATTATTCTCTTCAACAGGAAAGATTTGCCAGTCCCAGCACTGCCTGTAAAGAACACATTCCTTTTTCTGAGAACAGCTTCCAGAACAGTGTTCTGTTCCTTGCTAAGTTTCAGTGGGTTCACAACTCTAGATGGTGACATCATTGCTAAGCTCTTAGCCCTCTTAGCTTGCATTGTCATCTGAGACTCAGTCACATTTTCTTTCTCATCAACACGTTTCCTCTTCCCTGTCACCGTTGATTTCTGTGTTGGTGCTGCTAGTTTACTTTGTTCAAGTTTAGCTTTTGCAGAGTGAACTGTTTGTAGATCTTTAATCGTCAATGGACTAATGTCTTGAAATGATTTGGGAACATCAGATAAAAATTTCTTGCGCATACTCATAAAACCTTTTTGACGTAGACATTCTAATTTTGTATGCATTGTTTTCAGGAACATTATGAGTTTGTCCGGCGGGCAATTACTTAAAAGAAATTGAAGTTTATGATCTGGCAGTTTGATGGTAGCTTTGCCGTCTTTTACAAACTTCTTGTGGATTACTAATTCACGAATGGGGTATTTGACTTCTTTCTTGCTGTAACTGAGTTTAAGAATCATTTCAGAAAACTGGTCTCGACCAAGGACGAGCATGATGTTTCTGTGTTGAGTTTTCTTGATGACATCCCCAGTGGATGTCAGCTCCTCGATTGTCACGGTACAGGAGATGCATCCAGATTCCATGATGATTCACTGATAAAAGAGAAAAACAGTTTTTCCAACAAACTTTCCTTCAAAATAAAGCCTCATGATTAAAGCAGATAAGTGTTCAATACTTCCCACTTAAGAACCCAAAGTCTTTATCATTATCATGATTATGTTGTCTCCATGTTACAAAGAAGAACCACACTACATACTGTAACATCATCATCATGATGGTGTTATTCATTGTAAAACAGTGTTGTAATTGTACTAAAAAATATAAATCTTTAATGATGTCCCATTACAGTGTTTAAACAATGGATGAAAATCTAATAAAATCTAACGAATACATTTGGCCTTCAATTGCTTCATGATTCTATGGGTCTCTTTTGCGATGATGAGTGAACAGTTACATGACATACAGATGACAGGCTGATAAAAGGTATTTTTGTGCAAGGGTTTATGTTTTCTGTCCACAATAATTATCATATAATTTCATTAGTGTCTATGCAAAAGAGACAGGAGGCAATATAATATGTAAAAAATACTTTGACTGAAATAATAGTTTTACAAGACAATAAAAGAAACATTGTTTTGCAATCATTCACAACATCTTCAATAATGTCTTCTTCAAAATGTAGGCATCATCAATAAGAATCTAAGATTTTTGTCCTTGTAATGTAAATAATGGCCAAAAATGTAAATAATGACAAAAACTATACATACACGAAGTCAATTAATTGCTGGTCATTTATTTTAGTAATGGTCTCTCTTGCGTGTTTATCAAGCTAGAAACATGATATACTAACAGGCATGATTTATAAATATATAACAAATTATGTAGAACCATTAGATCAGCTGAGCTGATCATAAACATACCGTATATGGGCGTTAAGGGACAATCAATATCATCTGTCAAAATTATTCAGAATCTTGATATACATAAAAAAGACAACCCGTTGCATTGTTTCAATAAATCACATTAATACCGGTACCTCTTTGTCCACTGTTTCGTTTGGAGACAGTCAATGCTATGTGCTTTTGACTTTTCAGTCTTTTGTCAACAAAGCCATGCAATAAATTACGAGGATGTCACTTGAAAAATGCTGCAATGTAATTTCTATAAATGAAATCTAGATAAGTACATGTAATCAAGGATTTCTGAAACCTGATCGTGCCTTTAAGAATACCGGTGCGATGTTTATACAGCTTTCTTCTCTGTACACATCTCTGGAAGAGTTCACTCAGCTGTGAAGGCCATTTGAAACATGTGCGACAATGCGTCAAAAATCACGTGACCTTGTGACCAATGGAATAGCTTGTTGTAAAATTAAACCAATCAAAACATATATTACATATTACACTTTATTTACGGAAGTGAACTTTTGACCAGCTAATAAACAAGAAAACATTTTCTAATTGCAATATCTACTGATGACAAAGACAACGGGTATGTTTACGTTCACCTGTAAAAACATTCATGGATATGTCTGTGTTGTAAGTGCCAAGTTGTAGTGGACACCGTCTTATTTGGAGACACTGGTCTAAGTTTCTATTGTCCTGTTCGGTTTTCGATCACAAATTCTTCAAGATGTGACAATTTTTCAAGCTTTTATGTGATTGTTAGTTACTGATTGGTTACTGTGTTTTTTCTCTACTCTCCAAACCGAATATCTGAAACAGTATATAGGTTTGATAGAATCTTTAAATAGAATAACGTTTCTCCTGAAAAGATGAAGATTACCTAAATTTATTAATAATAATATGAAGCTGTTACACCAATAAACTTATTTTTCAGACCATTTAGAGGTGATTGATCCCTGCTTTGAATATAATGACTAGTTTTGGATGGAAAAGAAAAACTGGTGCAAATGTTTCCAAATTAACCTCGACATCATTCGAAGAGAACACCAAGGATGATGATGAAGAAGTTCGCAGTGGTGATATCGATTGGATTTCTCTGGCGCCAAAGAGGAGAATTATTTCCTTAGAAGATGCTCTTGGCAAGAGTGAGAGACTGAAGAATGAAGGTTGTGTTCTTGCAGAGTCTGACAGGTACAGCAGCTAATTTTAGGGAATGTTAAATGTTGTTAACAATAATTATCACTCTTCAATATTCCAGCTAGAGTACACACTGTCTGGAAACTTCATTCAAAACTTTTGTAATAAAATTTCTTGTTTTCGTATATTCAGTATTAAATCTGTCAGTGTCATTGAAATTTCAAGACAATGTATTTTCCTCCTCCCAAAATATTTAATTGGGTACTGCATTACCAAGTTTGTATTTACTAGCGTCCGCCCGGAGAGCGGATGGCCGCGGGTTCGATTCCCGACCGCATCATACCAAAAGACGTTAAAATATGGTCCTTGTTGGCCCCTGTCTGGCGTTCGGCATTAATGGGTACAACAAGGACTGGTCGGCTCGGAGTCAGTATAATGTGTCTGAGTGGGGTATTCATGCTTCACTGTGGCATGGTATCTCAGTGGGCTAGCACTACAAAACCAGCTTAAGTCTGGGCTAGTACAAGCAGCCGCACATACCCGTATACACGCATGCACGTCGTCATATGAGCAAAATATTCTCAAGCACGACGTTAAACCCAATTTCACCTCACCTCACCTCACCTTGTATTTACTTATGATGTGTTACAGATATTGGGAGGCCATCAAGAAATGGGACGAAGCACTCCACTTTAACCCTCTCAACTGTAAGGTCTACGAGATGAAAGCTCAGGTGAGTGGTGCAGAGACACACCCTTCTCACTCCTCCACACACATTACATCTCTCACTAATGGTGTTTTGGAGCAGGTTCAGTGTTAGGAGCCAATAAACAAGGGGTATCAGGTGATTATCATTTGATGTGGACTGTTGTTCATGCTATCAACCACTGGTCACTTGGCCTAGACTTGGTTTTATTTATACACAGGTAATACAGCTGGAATAATGTTGACTTTGCTGTATCACAACATTTACTCAATCTTATCCATATCATCAACTGCTTGAATCTAATATCAGAGCAATGCAGGTTCTTTCTTCCCTTAAATGTCCAGGCAAAGTATTTTTATACAAGCAGCTGAAAAAGTTTTTGTTGTCTTTCCTTTGGACTGATCGAAAGTTGTTAATGTTATTCTCCTTGAAATTCTCATCAAAATCTGACCTTTTACTCTGATACAATACCTTATACTTGAAGCTCTCAGGATATCACCACAGGAGCTTATGTCAGATGATCTTTCTAATCAGCTGGTCAGGTTTCTAACTACTAGGAGCAAGGTAGCAAAGCATTTGGGCAAGTATATCTGACATCTGTATTAGAAACAATCATAGTCAAGGAGTTCCGAATGCAGAAAATAATAGATTTAAGCAGAATGAGTTGGACAATAAATGGTTGATGAAGCCTCATCTCTTTCATTTTAATTGAGTGGTTTGCTTAGTCTGTACTTGTTGTGCACTGGTTGAGGCAGATTACTAATCTGATTTGAATAAGATTGATGCCCGGAATCCACAAGAAATGTCAGCAAATTCTTAATTAATATTAGCAGTAAATGGTGGAGTGAGGCCTGATAATGCTGATATCAAGCTGGCATAAATATTGGCTATGGTATGTGCTTTATGAGGAAACTTTAATGTATATTTATTTTTGGAGCATTTATGTTACATGTTACTCATGGTCCCAAAGTTGCTTGGTAGGACTTCACTAACAATGTGTAGTGTGAGAGTCTGTGTTCTCATTATGAAGAACTTTCATGAACTGAATATAAACTGATAAACCCAGATCAGTATATTTGCTTGTTTTAAGGAGTTTTGGGGAAACTTCCAATAGAGAAAAGGAAATAAATGTTAAATTCCATGAAAACAGCCTTGAATAATAATACAAATGAGATGTATATGTAATGAAACACAGCTAGATTGCTAGGCTGTGAATCCCATTTCTTTTTCAACCAATCAGAATTGCGTCTCATGCTCTATTTCTCCAGGCTCTCATGGCGCTGAATGAGTTGTACCCAGCAGTGTCGGCAGCACGGAAGACTGTGGAGGTCTGCCCCACCTGGTGGGTGGGTCACCAGACCCTGGGGCGAGCACAACTCAACCTGGGAGAAGTGAGACTGGTGAGCTCCAGTGGGCACCTCGACAGATGTCCTCAATGTTTCTATTATTCCATACAATCTACCACAGGAAATAGGCCTTCACTGCATCTGTGTGTGATACATGTTTCATTTATACTGTCAGCATGAGTAGCAACTCTCTGGTGCTATTATGGTATGCAAGCGTCAAAGTGCCTTTATGAACCCTGCTGAAGGGGAATGAACTCTTTCAAAGATTACCTCCCCTTGACCATAAACTGTAAACTATTTGAAGCATCAACTAGATCTCTAGCAAGACTTATTCCTACGGTATGCCTGTGTTTTCCATGATCATACACATGGAAATGGAATGTAAATGAACTTAAAATTTGCTTCCACAGGGTTTAATCATACATGTAACACTACGAGATCATATGCAGTTAATATATCAATATATCTGAAACCCGTGAAAATTTGGGCTTGAATTGGTCTTCACCAACCCATGCTTGTCATAAGCGACAACTAACGGAATTGGGTGGTCAGACTCGTTGACTTGGTTGACACATATCATTGCATCCCATTTGCTTAGATCGATGTTCATGCTCTTAATCACTGTATCCACTGGTGCCATGTTGCTGGCATATGGCTAAACAGCAAACCAACCAATGTATTTGAAATATTGTTGACGGAATGTTAAAGTTTGAGTCATGCATACATGTCGTGGTAAATTTGTGACATGATTGGTGTAAACATGAAGCATCTCCTCTCTTTAAAAAACTTGTGTCAAATATGGATCCTAGTGACATGTATAAAATGATACCATTGTGGGAATTATAATACACTTGCATGCACACACCTTTGAAATACCCTGGGTCCACTTGATATAAAACATGAATTTAATGTTATCATTTGTATCATGAAATATTTGTTAATTGTGATTTGTAGATATTTTAAGTAAGCTCACCTGCCTTGAACTGTAGGGATAATAAATCTGTACACATGTCTGGTCTGATAACCATTCACTGACCTATATTAGAGAAAATTCCCCATCAACAAATTCTCCTCAACTAATTCCCCATGAAGTTTCTCACCAGGAAAATTTTCATTCAATAAAATCCCCATCAAATTTTCCATTGACAATTTTCCTGTCTACATATTCCTCAACAAATTCCAAAACAACAAATTCCTCATCAACAAATTCCAACTTGACAAATTCCCGTACATCAATTTCTCCACAACAGTTTGTGTTTCCCAACTTCAGGCTCTGCACAGTTTCTCCACGGCAGTTCACCTCAACCCTGCCGACCGGGATCTGTGGGAGGAGGATCTGATGTGGGCCGACTCCCTGATGCAACAACACAAACAGGCAGTGGAAACAGTCAAGCAGCAAGCAAACAAGTCCACTGTCACTATAACCGAGATCTCAGATGACCCCTCCCCTGTGTGTGATAGAGACCAGGCTATGGACAAATGTGACACCGGTGCCGGGGGTGAGGGGATGTCTGTGAAGGCATACAGCAGGGAGACGGCGGACAAGATAAAGAGGACTGGGAAATTGAAATCTGTACCGAACAATTATGTCATTATGAGAGATAAATGATACAATATGTATATTGACATCTTCATTTAATGTACCCACGAAGATCCGTGTTAGAATTGATCTTCAGTAACCCATGCTTGTCATAAGAGGCGACTAACGGGATCGGGTGGTCAGGCTCGCTGACTTGGTTGACACATGTCATCGTATCCCAGTTGCATAGATCAATGCTCATGCTGTTGATCACTGGATTGTTGGATCCAGACTCAATTATTTACAGACTACCACCATATAGCTGGAATATTGCTGAGTGCAGGGTAACACAAAACTCACTCACTCATTTCATGTTGGCAACAGCTACTCTAAGGATAGAAGTACAACAGATCCCAGTCCAGATGCATCGCCTTCAACCCAACACAGTGATCCAGTGGTTACAATGTGTGACTTGGCCTATGTATGTTCAAGCTATCAACCACTGGTTTGTCTGAAATAATATAGTCAAAATTGTAGACTAATGAAATCATTCTGAAGTGACATGTTTATGGTCAAGCATGTATATATTATTACTGATATCAAAGGATTGTCACCTGCAGTCAATATCTAATGTAATGAGATTCATTTCATTTTGACACTTGAATCATTTCTGATTGGATAAGGATACCTTCATGGATGAACAACTTCTTTATTCAGGTGATAAAAGAAAGAAGTTGTTCATCCAGAAAGTTTGTTCTTATCTTTATTTGACTCTCCAACTTATACAAATCCCATTCAAAGAAGTCATTCATGATTGATTGCCAAAGAATCATGTATGATTAAAACAAAAATGAGTCTTACGAATTTATGTTTCATTTCTGTCTATATATATTATGATGAATGGGGTATTATGGGCAGTTTTATGATATGCCATATCTCATCGTGTCCCCATCATCCAAGGTGCCACAATTCTACCTGTAGAGTTGTCTCCTCTGGGTGTGTCAGGTGCCTGTGATTGGGTGCGTGATTCCCAGTTCACCCAGATTATCTGTCTGTGATTAGTTTCACTAAAGTAGTAAATATCTACCATAAATTTTTTTTTATAGTCTGTCTCAGTGCCTGAACCACATTATTTTCCCTACTGCCTAGCCCTCCCTTGAATGCTAAAGCCCTAATATGAATTATTTTTATCACAGTAATATAAACCAACAAATTAGGTTCAGAATTTACCATCTGATTGGGGCATCTTTTCAATTTAAATTGGTTTCATTTGTTACTATCCAATTATAAGTCTAAGACCTGCATCACTTTAAGAGTTTTCCTGCATAATAAAAATGCCTTATTGTCCGATGTTCTTTCAAAGCAAACTGTCTCACACCTATAGATGCTTTCAAGTAAAGTGGACCCTTGAAGATCCGGGTTAGAATTAGTCTTCAGCCACCCATGCTTGTCTTAAGAGGCGACTAACGGGATCGGGTGGTCAGGCTCGCTGACTTGGTTGACACATGTCATCGTATCCCAATTACGTAGATTGATCCTCATGCTGTTAATCACTGGATTGTCTGGTTCAGACTCAATTATTTACGGACTGCCGCTATATAGCTGGAATATTGCAGAGTGCTGTGTAAAACTCAACTCACCCACTCAAAGTAAAGTGTAAACAGCTGAAACAATCTTGGAGGTATGAGTAAACCTCCGTCAGAGTTGAACAAGAAATGGTATATCAGTGATTCAACAAACATAGACGTCTGTAAAAATAGAACCCAACACATTGACAGCAGCTGGCCAGAGAGGACCTAACATTCCTGAAAAGTGGTAATAAAAAAGTAAATCTAATATCAGTTTTGAATTACAAATTGGTAAAGAGTGGTTTGGACTCAGTAAGTGGATGGGTATGACTTCCGTCCGTATCCCCCCTAACTTTTAACGATGGGGAAAAAATTCTTTGAGTGGCATTTTTAGAAGTCTTTCAGTATGTTCAGATACAATTAAAGAAACATGTTAAAACTCATCCTTATCAGATGAGGAATATAAATTCAGGTAATATGAGACCCGTGAAGATCCGGGGTAGAACTGGTCTTCAGCAAGCCATGCTTGCTACAAAAGGCGACTATGCTTGTCGTAAGAGGCGACTAACGGGATCGGGTGGTCAGGCTCGTTGACTTGGTTCACACATGTCATCAGTTTCCAATTGCGCAGATCAATGCTCATGCTGTTGATCACTGGATTGTCTGGTCCAGACTCGATTATTTACAGACCGCCGCCATATAGCTGGAATATTGCTGAGTGCGGCGTAAAACTGAACTCACCCACTCACTCAGGTGATATAATTTTACTCGAATGAAATTTAAGGGGGAATACGTGTGGAAGTCTTTCCAGTGAATGAATAGAGTCGTATGAAATATGAGCACTGCCACAGATGGAGACGAGAATTATCCCCACTCGGGTTTGGAACCTCTTTCTCCAGTGTGGCGAACTAACTCGGAACGTCGCCCATTAGAAATGGTAATGATCACGAGTTATCTCCCTTAGGCCGCAAGCGTCATTTGCAATCAATAATCGGTGGTGGCAGCAGAAGTGGGTACACAAGAGAGACGGAGAGATACATTGACGTTGTTTCTCGGATGCGCTGGGGAATATTATTCTCAACTTTAACTGACATTTACCGGTAACTGCAGAAACTCCATCCATCTTGAAAGTCGCCTCATGATCTACCCTTCCATTGTTTTTGAATAAGAAAGTAGACAAATAGATATTTATACAACATACTAGTTTCATTCAGAATGTTCACACGTTCCTGTTCTGAATATTCTAGTATTTTCCAAAGTGTTTCTTTTTAATTAGAGAGCGGCGTTTGAAATGACATCTAATACACGTATTCTGTATAAAGGCAGTATTAAACATTTTGAGAGAGAGACATACAGATTCGACCAAATGTGATACAAATGGTTTGTTACTGAAACTATTCTTGTTTTAAGATACAGTTAATACATTGCAAATGTAACACAGCCAACCAAACAGTCATCGAAATTCAAAGAGACTGTATCAGTCGCGATAGACATGATTTCGAAAGGAATGTCCTCGCCATCTGTCTGTGTTAAGAAAAGAAGAGATGAACAATAACGCACTGTTTAAATGCATGTACACACATTGTTTGTGCTTGCAACCAACCGATATGTACATATGATCATTTTAGGTATCATACATGTATCCAACATATATAAGTTGTACATAATAATGTACCATAAACGTGTACCTCTAATGCCGCCGATCGGGGTGTAAATAAAGTTCAGTTCAGGTATCTAGAATGTGGAAGTCAAAGATTTGTTTTGTTTGTTTATCATTTAAACCCACGGTCAACAAAACTGCAACCAGATCACCACAGCTTGTAATAATAGAGTCTTGACCAGATAAACCACGGGTTGATATCAAGATCAACGTCGGAGTGCAATTTACACAGTCACCGGGCCTGACCACCCGATGCTCTCAAGCTAAATCTTACAACAACATGAAAAGAAAGTTTTGGACCCCGGGAATAAAAAGTACATGTAGTATAAAAAAACACAAATAAAAACAAAACAAAAGAGAAAGAAAAAAAGTAATAATAAGATAAAATTGATACATAATAAAAAGAAGAAAAAATACCCCCCTCCACCCCCAAAAAAAACAAAACCAAAACCAAACAACAAAACAGCAACAAAAAAACACACACACACACACCCCACACCCCCCCAAAAAAAGAAAGAAGAAGGTTAAAGTAAAAAAAATAAGGCGTGGCTTTTACTGAAATATTAGATAATCATGGATCCACGTTTGACCCTACCTAAGCCTCTCAACAGCCTGGAGCTTGTACTTTTTCTGTTTCTGCAGCCTTTTATCTAATGTGTATGGCTGTCATTATTATTATCATTATCAGTAATCGTATATCACGCCTCAAGATATAAACCGTGGGGAATAATCAACAACAATATAATAATTTCTCTAGGTGAACCAACGTGAGCATGGTGATGAGTGAATCAAACTCTCGGAAAGTACGAATCACGCCACTGATATCGAGGCGTTTATCATTTACAACCATTAACATTAAAATTACAGTTTCAATCTCCACAAAAACCAACTAAAACAAACAACCAAAAAAGTTAAAATTCTCTCATATCCTCCCCAAAATGTTATTTTATTTTATTTATTTTAGTAGCGTTCTAATTTTTATATTTCTGATTGGAATTGCTCTTAATATGCCAATTTAATATATTTCCTAATAAAATTTGACATGTACTTTTAAAGTGTAGTCTTATGCACGTGAACCTGCCCATGAGTTTTCATATCACGCACGTCTCCGGCTTGACTTGGGGTGGTCGTTTCCTGTACGCCTATTGTTTGGTACCCAGAATCTTACAGTGACACATTTCTATCAACAGCGATTCAACTGAACTACCATCCATCCTCTCGAATGCTGAAAGGCTGGTGTCTTGTGAGATTGTTAATAAATCATCAATCCTCTTTAACCAAGTAGTTTCATGGATAATTTGTTTCATTGAAATTCGAGGTTTAGTGGCATTTTTTAATATATTTTATTCAAACAATTCACAATGTGAGCCACATGTTACATACACACGGACGTTATGAAATAATTCAAAATGTACATAAATTTAAACGGAAATGATGCTTCATTACTTCGATAAAATTACAATATTAAACAGTTAATTTCAAATATTAAATTTGCGATATAAAAAATGAACTTTTACTAAAAAAAATATTGTTCCATAAAACCGTTAGAACACCATGAAAAATTAGTCAAAATTGATTTCTCATTTCCAACCACCCAACTTGTCGCTTAATTTAAGCTCAATCAAATTAAGCCAAGGTTCACATTTCCCTGGAAAATAAAATGTGGTGCCCCGGTCTTCCGCGCATAAAGTATAAATCTCGAGTTAACTCTTGTAAAAAACTAATGAATACAATGTTTCGTGTCACAATAGACACGCGATGGCGTTTTTGCATCTGTTAAATTGTTTGATCCCCGGCAGATGATCATGTTTATTGATGACATGCGTTGCAATATACAACTGCTGACGAATGGCTTGTTCATTTCAGCTCGCGT